GAGCCGGGCCGACAGAAGCAGGACTCCTGAGCTTGGGCACGAGATGAGCCAGGCCGACAGAAGCAAGACTCCTGAGCAAGGGCATGAGACGAGCCAGGCCGACAGAAGCAGGACTCCTGAGCAATGGCACGAGACGAGCCAGGCCGACAGAAGCAGGACTCCTGAGCGTGGGCACGAGACGAGCCAGGCCGACAGAAGCAGGACTCCTGAGCGTGGGCACGAGACGAGCCAGGCCGACAGAAGCGGGACTCCTAAGCAAGGGCACGAGACGAGCCAGGCCAACAGAGCCCCTGGGTTTCAGCAGAGGCAAAACAGAAGGACACTCTGGGGAAAGTCTGTCATTTAGGCCTGAAGAATCCCACAGATTAAAAAAAATTAAACATGAATTCATAATCAAGAATGACAATGTAAGCAGCAGATTTAGAAAAAAGACCACCCAAAGTGGCCAGAGTTGAGAAAGAACCAAGTAGAACTTCTATAAATGAAAACTGTAGATTTTTTTAAAGCAAAAACTTAGGGATGGAGTTTGAATGAGATTAGATAGAGTTAATGAGAGAATGGGTACAGCAGACATCGATATGAAGAAATCATCCAGTGACAGCAAAGGAGACGAAAAACATGAAGCAGGAGTGAGGGGACATAGGACGGAATGACAAGCTTTGTGAAATAGGGTCTGGGCCCCGTCCCCAGAGGAGAGAACGGGAGAAACCTTATGGGAAGAGAGGATGCCTGAGGACCTCCCGAACCGACAGAGGCACGATTCTGCAGATACAGGAAGCACATGTACACCAAGCAGGGCAAAGGCACAGAAACCCACACCTGGGCAGGCCCCAGGGCACCACAGACCATCAGAAGCAAGAAGGAGCCGGGAGCAGTGGCTCACACCTCTAATCCCAGCACTCTGGGAGGATCACCTGAGGTCAGGTGAGATCACCTGAGACCAGCATAGCCAACATGGTGAAACCCTGACTCTACTAAAAATACAAAAATTAGCTAGGTATGGTGGCAAGTGCCTGTAATCCCAGCCACTTGGGTGGCTGAGGTGGGAGAATTGCTTGAACCCGGGAGGCGGAGGTTGCAGTGAGCTGATATTGGATGACACTCCAGCCTGGGTGACAGAGTGAGACTCCATCTCAAAAAAAAGAAAAAAAAAAGATGAAGAGGCTCCGAATGCCCCTAGAGGAAAGCTGCAGAGCCACGCTAGATGGTCAGCAGTGAGGCCGACAGCAGATTTCTCATGGCAGGCAGCAGCAGTGGGAGACGGCGGAAGATCCTCAGTGTGCTGAGAAATCGCCAACCGAGCACTCTGTGTTGTTCAAGAGTATGAATGAAATAAAAAGGTTTTGGGAAACAAAAAAATGAGAGCATAGATCTTCACTTAAATATTTTTAGTATTTAAAATATTAAATATTTAAATATTTTAAATATTAAATATATTAGATCTAATATAGATCTAAATATTAGATCTATCTAAATATTATTTAGATAAATTATCTAAATTATATAATTTAATTAATTAATTATTTAATTAAATTTAATTAAATATTTAATTAATAATTAAATTTAAATATTTAATTAATAATTAAATTTAATTAAATATTTAATTAATTAATTAATTAATCATAATTATATAATTTAAATATATATAAAAATCTAAATTATATTTAGATAAATTAAAGATTAGATCTAATATTTAAATCTATCTAAAGATCTTCACTTAAATATTTTTTTAAGGATGTGTTTCAGTAAGAACAAAAATTACAAAAGCAGGGTCTGATTTTCAAGAAAGAATGGCAGCCAAAGAAATCAGCAGATGGGTGAATCTAAACCCCATGTAAAATAACAAGGATGTCTGGCCGGGCGCAATGGCTCACGCCTGTAATCCCAGTGCTTTGGGAGGCCGAGGTGGGCGGATCACCTGAGGCTGGGAGTTTGAGACCATCCTGACCAACATGGAGAAACCCCATCTCTACTAAAAATACAAAATTAGCCAGGCATGGTGGCACATGCCTGTAATCCCAGCTACTTGGGAGGCTGAGGCAGGAGAACTGCTTGAACCTGGGAGGCGGAGGTTGCAATGAGCTGAGACTGCATCACTGCACTCCAGCCTGGGTGACAGAGTGAGACTCCATCTCAAAACAAAAAAAACAATTTTACTGAGTTAAAACTCCCCCTTGCAAAAATGTACAGTTGCGCAGTTCCTAGTTATGTTGTGTAACCCTCACCGCGATCCGATTTCAGAACATTTTCACCCCCGGAAGAAGCCGCGCACTCTTTAGGCAGTCGCTGTATCCCACCTTCTCCCCAGCCCCGAGACTGCTCATCTGCTTTCCAGCTCAGTGGATCAGCCTGTTCCGAACAGTTGTGTGAATGGAGTCACAACACATGGTGCGCGCGACTGTTCTGTCGCTGAGCGTCACGCATTCAAGGCTCATCCGTGCTGCGGGGTGTGTCAGCGCGGCAGTCTTTGTTATGGCTGGAAAACACTCAGCTGTGGGCACACACTGTGTGTACCTGGGTGGCTTCTGCTCTGTGGCTGATACGAACAGTGCCGTTATGAAGGTTCACGTACAAGGTTCTGTGTGGACGTGTGTTCCGTCGTATTCCTGGACATATAGCTGGGAGCGGGATTGCGGGGTCACCTGTTAACTCCATGTGTGGTGAACGCTTGTGGAGAACCACCCAGCTCTTTCCAAAACAGCGGCCCCACCTTGCATCCCCGCCAGGAAGGGGTTGGGGTTCCGGGTTCCTGCAGCCTCACTCAGGCTTGTTACTGTCCCTCTTCTGACACAGCTACCCTGGTGAGGGTGAGGTGCTATCTCCCTGGGATTCCGACTTGCATTTCCCTGATAACAAATGATATCAACATCTTTTCATGTGCCTGTTACCATTTGTAAGTCATCCGTGGGGAAATGTCTAGTCAGACCCTTCATCCACATTTTAATTGGGATATCCATCTAGCTTTTCTGGTGCTTTCCTGGAGGCAGTGAGTTCGAAGGTTCTGTTAAAGCACCCGTGGCTCGCAGGCTCACAGGAGGTGTCCAGCCGGCTCCAGCGAGTGGCCTATTCTGCTGACCCTGGCTCTGTCCCCTAGGCCCCATGGTGCTTATGTGACCCTGTCCTTGGAGCTGACACGCTCGCATCCTCCTGGGGACCCCAGCGTCCCCAAAGCCCTCACAGGCACACAGGTCTCCTGCCTGCAAACAGAGCTCCCAGCCACGAGCCCGCCCACACTCCTGGGAAGCAAATCTTCAGCCCACTGGGGCTGGAACCAGGGGAAGACACCAAGGGAGGAGGCTCCAAGACCTACTGGGTGGGCTGGGGACACACACTCCAAGCTGGGACTGGCGCCCCTCATGTGCCAGCACCCATGGGGCCACGTGTACCCTGCTGTCTTTGGGGACCCTGCAGGCCTCTGGCCACCTGCCCAACAGCAAGCTCCTCAGAGAACCCTCAGCCAGCCTTCCTGGGACTGGGCTATGCCTCAAAGGCCTTTTTTTAAAATATGGAAAACCAGTATGACCCCAAAGACAGTGTTAGGAGAAAGTAAACTTCCTGTTAATCTATCATCTGTGACTCCACTCCCCTCATTCCTGTGACTCTGTCATCCATGACTCCACTCTGCTTACTCCTGTGACTCTATCATCCGTGACTC